TGATTGAGTGAAACTAAGTTTTAAGTAGATATTAATATTTATTCAAGAATACAAAACTGCAATCTTAGCATTCACTGAACTCCAATGGAGTTCAGCCTCTGGGCTCCCCTGATGGCTGACTGATCATGATTTTCTAATACCTTATTAGATTTGTCCTGTTTGTGTTGATGAATTAGATAGACAGACACTAAATTATACATGTTATTCTTCTAGGTATGGAGCTGAGTACTAGTACTAAAACAAAATGTCAAAAATGTCCTTTAGATTGGAGGATTGCAGGGGTACGTTGTAAGGCTCTGTGAGTATTATTCACGAGCTAGACTGCTTGGCACTTTACATTTAAATTATTGAGAAGTTAAAAAGAAAGTCAGATGATGTGGCTTCAGGGAGTGAATATGTCTTTAACCACCGACATCAAAGGGAATAACATTCCTTTAAGATGGTTGTGTTAATTTAGAGCAAAATTCTTCCCTGATAAAGGGACACACAGCCTGCTCAGTTGAAGAGCCTGAGCTTCTGTACTTCTGAAACACAGCTCTTTAAGTATCTGTGTTTCTCACCTAACACAGAGAAAGATTTAAGCTCTAACAGTGATTGCAGGCTAAGGGGTACCCACTCTCACTGTTCACATCTTCTTGCCACAGAAAAGAAAGACACAGGTTGCATCTGAAGGGCTTTGATAATACTTCCACAATCATTACTAAACATTCATGAAGTGCTGTTGTTTTTTATTTCTGCTCTTTTTGTCTTTTTTGCGGGCGGGCGGGGGGGTGGGGCTGGCGCTGTCATCCAGCTCCCAAATAAATCCACACACAGAGGTTTATTATTGCTTATGAATGCCTGGCCTTAGCTTGGCTTAGTTTCTAGCCAGCTTTCCTTAAATTATCCCATTTCCCCTTCGACTCTAGGCTTTTTCCATTCTCTTACTTCCATAATCTTACTCTTACTCCGTGGCTTGCTGATTGTGTGGCTGGCTGGCTGGCCCCTAATGTCCTCATCCCTGTATGATATCCTACCTCCAGGGTTGATTCCATCTGTTTTTGAGACAGGCTTTCATTATGGAACTCTGGCTGACTTTTGCCTCTACTTTTCCTGCCTCAACCTAAGTCTGGACTCTTCCCCCTCTGCTATTGGCATTTCTCATTTTTAGATAGTGCGTCAGGAGGGGTGACACTCTTAGTTTGTGTCTTTATTCACTCTGGGCATCTTCTGTGGAACCTGTTTTGAGACCGCTTGTGAATCTGGCCTCTGTGATCCTCAAGACAGCCTGTCCCAAGAGTTCCTGCTGCTGTTGCTGGAGGTAACTCACAGGACAGACATACCCCTTCCTGGTTAGACTTTTCTTCCAGGTCCTGAAAGGGCAGGTGATAAGTTACCAAAGAACTTTCCACTCCAAGTCTTCCAGCCTTTGGCCCCAGCACCCCAATACCAATGTTACCATGTACTCTCCCCCAAATTAGGTCCCAGCTGTGCTGTAGAACCTCCACCCCCATAACCTTGCACATTTCCCTGACCGCACAATATTTTACTAAATAAAAACAAGATTTTTATATTGTGAAAAAAGCGAGAGAGACATGAAACTATTACCTTATCTGTGTATAGACAGCCCCAGGCTTAGAATATCTAGAATATTAGAATTAGAATATCTAGAATATTAGAATATCCAGTCGGTGTTCAGGGCTTGCATGATTACTGTATCTACTTTTTTCCCCTAACAGATAGGATCATTCAGGAGTACTACAATTAAGAGCCTATTAAATACTATAATATCACTTAAGTAAACAATGCTTGTTAAATCTGCTTACAAGATAGAATCTTAAAAATGAATGTTCCCTTGCTCTGAGTTCACTAGTTCTGGTGAAGGAATTTCACTAGGGGCATGTATTTTGTTCCCAGAATATGAAAATTTTGATATGGTTCTCAAAGAGATTATGAAGCTCAGATAGAAAATCTAATGCCAGAAGAATGTGACCTAAAACAATTTCCAGCTTGAGCTACCATGATTTTATCTAATAAAATATGTAATGAAAACATGCTATACACCATCAATTATTACCTCAGGATAATTTAGGCATCATTGGATAGCCCTCTCAGCCTATTTTATGAAGGTAATACCTCATCTTTTGACTGCTGTCTTTGGCTTAGGTGCTGCCCAAGTCCAGTGGCTCCTTCGTGTATACATCACCTGGCCTAGAAATCCATGGCTTGCATTTACTTGATGCAGATACCCAATACAACCATAGCAAATATTCATCAGACACTGCTTTCTAAGCAGTGGACTAAATTCATGTGAACTCTCCCACTCTCAGACGTACTGCAAATGTATTCTCAAAGCTCCTCCTGTTTTAAAAGGTAGATCACTATAGTTAACAAATATGTCCAAAATTTCAGACTTGAAATATCACTAGTTCTGAAAGCACATGGTCTGATTCTAAAACCAGCCTTAACCCTTGGACTGGACTGTTTTCACCTATTAATATAAGTAAAAATGTGTGTGATGAAGTCAATTCTGGTTTATTTAAAACAAGTAAGGCTAATCACAAAATATAGCTGATCCTAAAGGTTTTTTTCCCCTCTGTTTGTTGCATATCTAGTTGAAGTGTTTATCTAAATTGTTCTATTTTCAAAAAAAAAAAAACTTGGGAGTCAGATTTTGGGGTAAAACTATGATAGATCAAGAAAGCTGCAGAGGAATAACCAGCTGACCCTCTTTCCACGTTTGCCAGATCAAAAAGGCCCAAGAATCTTTCTAAGCCCCTCCCTTTTTCTTTCTGTGCCTCTCTATCGTATCCGGGATCCTCCAAAATCTCTATGACTAATTCAGGTCAGCTAGTTTCTGACTCTGCTCCCTGATTCAAGGTTAACTTTATAACAGTCTCAGAGTGTCACAGTGCAATCAAATATCTTGCAACATCTAATATGTGCTGTGTTTTGACTAAGCAGTTGTGGCTTACATCTGTTAAGATTTCCAGTTACTGATCCTCTGCTATGACAGTCAGTATTCTGATTATGAGAAAATTCTGAATCAAAACAGCTCCACCTCAACGTCAGAAAACAATAACCTCTGATGGCCCTGAGGGTGGTATGGGCCCACCCAGGTGGGTCACTGGGAAGTGGAAAAGGGGATTCCCTTCCCCCTACTTTATTGATATCTTCTAATGGAGTGTTTAGGGTATATGTAGTGCTCTGTGAATGTTCCCCCAACAATTAAATGAATGAAGGGATAGGTAGAAAAGTGAGCGAATGACTTGAGAGAGGAAAAAAAAAAAAGAAAAAGAACCATACAGAAACAGTGTAAGGCCTTCTATTAAAATACAAAAAAGGATGCCTAGCTAAGCTGAAGAGTCAAGAAATAGTTTCTATTTTATGTGAAACATACATTAATTTTAAAAGCCATTCAATGTTAATCAAATTACTGTATTTTCAATAAATAGCTATCAAATAATGTTATAAAATATTCACTCATGACAGAACTTGTCATTTATCATTCTGTGAAAATGGATACAGCTGAGCTAATAAAACCAAATATTCCAAATATATATATATATATATATTCAGTGTGGTTTAAGGAACCCTGACACTGCCATGTAGAACACAAAGTGATGGGAAAATGAAGAGGTAGTTAAAACTAGCCCTTCTCCTATTCCTAGTTTCCATCAATAGAGGCTGCAAAACTCATGGAACTTCTTTGCAAATCAAGCAGCAATTGGAGTCAAATCTCCGATGACTCAGACAATCTCAGGGCCTCAGGACCAGAACGTAACCAGACTGGATATGTGACTCTGTGAAGCCCCAGAAGTATAATTTAAAAATGACTGGGTTAATTTGCTTTTCTATGGCAAATGATCCCTGAAAATGATGGTGTAATTTACCACCCAGCTATGAGGATGGGAAGTTCTTGGTGGATAGCCAGGCCTTGTCTGATTGCGTAAGTCCCAGCATCATGATTGCCTCACTTATCCTTAGTGAGCTTGTAGATGTCCATGTTTTCATCTTTCTTTTCCAGTTATGGCAATCTAAGACTTTCTATTAAAAAATAAAAACAGACATAAACACCAATAAGCCTTCAACAATTAAAATATCTAGACACAGAGAAGATTAGTACTTGTCGTAGCTCACCATTATAATCAGGACTTTAAAAAAATCTTTTCCAGCCATCTTAGAAGATGACCTTTGCCATGGTCTTTGCCACTCCAGCTTTACCTCTTAGCAGGAAAGTTCACAACTGTACCAGAACTTCTCTTCTAAAGGCTGCTGTTGCAAGTCCTGATGGTGAAATCACTGCTGTTATTGAGAATATGCTTTGGGGTTCAGTGAATTTTTCCAAATACATCTCCTCTAATCTGACTCTCCCCCTTTCTCTCTCCCTCCCCTTTCCTCTTTCTTTCTCTCCCTCTTCTCACAGAGTCTCATTATATAACCCTGGTTGGCTGTACAGTGGAACTCACTATATAGACCAGGACCTACTTAGAGGTCCTCCTGCCTCCTCTTTCCAAGTGTTGGGATTAAGGCTTGTACCAGCATGCCTGGCTCCCATTCATATTTTTCAATACAATTCAATACATCCCTGAGATCCATTATTGTCTCTTTCTAGTGGAAGGAATGTTTAGTTCTGTGGCCACTTTATGCCTTAGTTTATTCTCCTGTAAAGTGAGAATGATAATACTGAAGTTGCAGAGCTACTCTGAGGGAGAGTCCGTGACTTAAGTTAACATACATGGAACTCTTGTTTATGTCAGTGCTGAGGATTGACCACAGGACATTGTGCCCAGCCAGCAAGTGCTCTACTGCTGAACTACACTACCCACCATCACATAAGGGCTCTTAAACTTGAACCTGATGCCTGCTGATAAATGGCCTAGATTCTAACTATTGAGTAACTGCTAAGTACCACTGAGTCTGCTAAGCCATAAGCATACAAAGATGAAAGCATTTTGCTTGCATGTATGTCTGTGGATTACATGTGTACAGTGCCCAAGGATGCCAGAAGACGGCATCAGATTTCCTGGAACTGGAGTTACAAACACATGTGAGCTGCCATGTGGGGTTCTGGCAATCAAACCCAAATTCTCTGGAAGAGCAGCCAGTGTACTTAACTAACCATTGAGCCATCTCTCCAGTTGCCCTCACCCTTTTGAAAATATATTTGAGGCAGCATTAAGTTGTGTGGCCTTGAAGTGGGATGCAGATGGCCCCAGATAGAGAGTATTGTGACCAGTTTATTTGGATCTTGACTCATCAAGAAAGTTAGAAACACTGTGAGAAGGTCAAAGCTGTTAGCATATTGGATGTATTAACTCTTGCCAGGTTTAAATGTGATACATTGGAGAATATTCTTCATGTTCTAGAAATACAGATGGATTCACTTATGAGTAAAGTAATACAATAAAAATAATGTCTTCTCTCTCTGGCACTGGCTTCAAAATAATTTGTCAAGTTTCAGACAAGGGACAAAAATGAATGCAGATTTGACATGAGTTGAAGATTGTTGATATAAGATGTTAGGAATGGAGGGGATAGTACTCTACTATTTTTTAATGCACGCTTAGTATTTAACATTTTCAATAATAGACACATTCTGTGGCAAATGAACATCATAGATATTGGAGCTAGCAATCTCTAACATTTACTTTTTTTCTGTTACTTTTCTTTTTTGTTTTTGTTTCTTTGAGACAGGGTTTAACAGCCCTGGCTATCCTAGAACTCGATTTGTAGAACAGACTGGCCTCTAACTCATAGAGCTCTGCCTCCCTATTGCTGTGATTAAAGGTGTGCACACACATGCCCTGCCTAACACTTCCAGTGTAACCATTTGTATAGATGATGAAAAGCATCTGACTTGGAAAAGACTAGTAGCTGAAAAGTCTGCAATGGGAGAAGTATTGAAGGAGACAGAAGGGACTAGGACCTGTAGGAAGATGATGAAAGAATGATACCATGCTATGGAGCTTGAAAGAGTTTGGAAGGAAGACACTCACAAAGTTCACTGAGCCTTAAAAAAGAAAATCAAGAAAGTGTTTATCCAGAACCTACTTCTAAAGCTCATGACCACCAGGACATACTTGAGTCAAACAAAATGATGTTTACTTGCTTTGCTTTAGCAAAGCATAAACTCCCCCTCCCAAGTTCTTCAGGCTCTTCTTATGGGATTTGAAAGGGGCTTCCTATGGGATTTGGTTTATCTTGGGTGACATCTGTTTGGGCTGCTATAACAAAATATCAGTCTGGATGGCTTACCCAAACCAGAATTTATAGTTCCCAATGTGGAGACATGGTAGTCTAAGATACACATGCCAGAAGATGTAGTATGTGTTGGGGTGGGGGGCGGCATTCCTAATAGCAAGTGCCTTCTGCTTATGTGTTCATATGACAGTAAATGAACTTCCTGGAGCTCCTTTTTATAAGGGAATTAATTTCAGAATCCAATCACCTCCCAGAAGGCTTAGCTTCTTAATACTATCAGCTCAGAGGTTAGGATTCAGTATATAAGTGGTGTGGAACACATAATTCTAAAGAGTATAAGAAAATAAGGTCAGCTCTGGGTTAGATGTTGGCCAGAAGCTGGATTATCTGAAATTAGTTCTTCTCTAGGAGACTGGAGTTTAACACAGAACCAGTTGTGCTGTTGGTGAAGAAGCAGCCATCTCATTACTCAGAAGAGGGCCATGGTTAGTCATCTGCTGTCAGTGCCAAGTGGTCTTGTGTGTCTCCTGTTTAGACACAGAGTGAGTTTTGTATATTTTTAGTGAAGGATTCCTTGGCCTATTTGTCAAGAGATCCATTTTTCACTTGCACAGTACACATCTAGGGAGCAAAGACACTGACTCCTGAAGGTATAAGAGCTAGCTTGGGCTCTCATGGGCAGTTAGATGGAGTTTGGGGAAGACTTCTTAGCACTTTGGGCAAACTTTAGTTTTAGTTGTGTTTGTTGCGTACAGAGAACATGTGTATATACATCTGAAATGGTAACAGAGGTGGGGGGGGCAGGGATGTCAGAGAAAAAAATGGATTCCGATTAACATGAGCAAGTATCAGTCTCACAGTTATGAATGAGAATAGCATAACCAATTATCTAGCAAGCCCTACATAGAACAGAAAACTCATTAAAATAAAAAATTAAAAGGGGTCTCTCTAATGGTTCCAGCAGTCCTGCAGATTGTTTTAGAAACTACGAACAGAAAGCTGGGTTGTATTTCTTTAACGTATGTCACACCATTAACTTTACACAGAGAACAACACCATCAAGATATAAATGGAAACAGGCCAATTGGCATCAAGAACAGGATTTCTCAAGGAAAATCGCCACCTAAGAAACAAAACCCTAGCTGCCTTTCCATTTTCCATTCATATTTTCTTATTGGCCACACCGAACAAGCTCAGCCAAAAGGAGAAGGGCGGGCGAAGTAACTAAAACAACTTTGGCTTACATACTAGTACACAGATACAACTGCCGGCCATCTTTATCTTCTTAGGCTGAAATGTTTTCCAAACGACTTTTTGTTCTTTGTTTCACAACTGGAGCTCTGACTTTGGTGGAGCTTTTGTTCATGGATGTTGCCATACGTGGAATCTTAAATATCCATCAGAGGCTCGTGTGTTACCCATTTGTTCTCCAGAATGGCATTATTAGAAGATGGTGGGCACAGGGGCTCCCAGGAGGTCCTCAGGCCATTACAAATATGGCTGGGAGGTCAGTTGGATTCTGACTTCTTCCTTCCCTCTTTTCCTTTCTAGCCATGAGATGAGGAGTTTGAGTTCTCCACAGCGTGCTTCCTCACTACAGGTCCAGAAGCAGCAGGCTAATCAATCATGAACTAGACCTTCTGAAACCATGAGCCAATGCATCTTTTCTCTTTCTAAGTTGGTGTTTCAGAAATTTGCTAGTGCTTACAGAAGGCTGACAGACACAAATGAGAAACATCTTATACTTCACACATCCAAAAAATGGAGTGTCCTTCTAATATGGTCTAAATGGAAATTTACATGTTATCAACAAAACCAAGCAACACACCCTCAAGTTGAGGCCTTTGAAGGCGACTGGCTCCTCTCTCAAGAACAAGGCTAGTTCCCATATAAAAAAGAGCTCCCTGCCTTCATTTATCTTGTAAGGTCAGTGACAAAGCTCCATCTGCAAACCAAAAGCCAGCTCTTACCAGACAGGGAACATGCTAGTGATCTTAGACTTTCCAACTTTCAAAGACACAGGGAAGTAATTTCTGTAGTTTATAAATCATCCAATTTAAGGCATTATGAAGCATCCTCTCTCTCCAAGAGCCACTGTAGCTGAACACTATGGGGAATTCCAGGGATGGGGTGGGGAAGGGCAGGAGCTTGTTCTAATGCACGCAGAAACAATGCCTTTCCAAGGAGTAGGGTTTGAGCTCAGAGGTCCCTGATGTGAGGGGCTCTGGAACAGAGACAGGAGAGAAGGGAGAAAGTTGGGGATTAATTAAAAGCTTGCATACAGGAAGGGGGAAGAAGAGAATTGTTGTGATATTTTAATTGTACTGAAATGTGATTTTATTTGTATGTTAATAAATAAAGTTTGCCTGGAGAGCCGAGGTCACATAGCCATAAACAGGAGTCAGGTGGTGGTAGCACACGCCCTTAATCCCGATCACATGGCAGGCAGAGTCTCTGTGTGGTCAAGGACACAGAGGTCTGTATAGACAAACAATGACGAGGAAGTCATGTGGCTGGGCTTAGAGCCAATGAGAAGGCAGAACAGGAAGGCAATAAAAACTCAAGTTAGACAGGAAGAAACTCTTTCTGGGGAAGCGACAGTGGCAAGGTGGTAAGATAAGGTAGTCGTGGTCTTCACTAGTTCTCCGATCTCTTTGGCTATTACCTCTGTATTTTGGAGAATTGGCCAGAAGAAAAGCAAGAGAGACAGCTACAGTAAGAACCTTCTGTGAATGCTATGCACTGTAGACTTGGTAACCCCTTAATGCTCACAAAGTCCCCTCAATTATATATTACTGTTCACCACGCAAAGCAGTGGTTCTCAACCTATGGTCACAAACCCTTTGGGGGTTGAACACCTCTTTTACTGGGGTCACATATCAGAAATCCTGCATATCATTTTACATTATGATTAGTAACAGTAGCAACATTACAGTTACAAAGTAGCAATAAAAATTTTATGTATTAATTTAATTGTATTAAAGGGTCGCAAGAAGGTCAAGAACCATTGGCTTAGAGGAAATAGAAAACTGGAGAAGATGGTTAGTTCCTTGGAAATATTGTTCGGACTGTAGGGACACTGATAGGTGAGGAGATATGTTCAAATTGTTTCTTTGCTAAAAGAAAACAATCAGGTAACACAAAAGAGCCATTTGTGCTGAAGTTTGGGAAGTATGGCCAACAAAATGCATCCCACTCAAAAACCATGATGTTTTGTGCTGAATTCTCAAAACCTTCATCAATGCCAGCAGGAAAGACTTTAGTTTAAGACCTAAGATTCACACTGATCATGTCTATGGTGCTTTCTTTTCTGTCTTTTACTGTCCTGGCTTCCTGTGATGTCCTCCCTCGCTCTCATCACCAAGTTTCTCTGTATTAGAAAAATTCCCTGATTTCTTCTAATCCTTCAGAATCACTGGGTCACTTGAAAGGTTGAAAAACATACTATTCTCACCAGAGGTCAGCACCAAATTCATGGGCAATACTTCTTTCATAAAAGTCTCTCACATTGTTTCTTTTTCTCGTTTCCTTTGATGTTTCTGGTTTCTATTTTCAATTTTTCTCTCAAAATAAATCTTCTCTGTCTATTTCTGGGACAACTTGCAAAGTGGAATTATTAGTAATGTTTTCATCACCTTATCGGCATTGATTATTTACTCTTTGCAGCACACATTCTCTTTGGATAAATATATTTCATCTGCTACAGCATTTTTTTTTCCGAGACAAAGTTTCTCTGTGTAACACCCCTGGCTGTCCTGGAAGTCACTCTGTAGATCAGGCTAGCCTCAAACTCATAGAAATCTGCCTGTCTCCACCTTCCAGGTTCTGGGATTACAGGTGTGTGCCATCACACCTGGCCAGTATTCTTTATCCTAGTTACCACAGAATCCCTTGACATAAAAGCCCCTTACACCTGCATAATTTAGTAGCA